ATGGCATTTTTCCATTCTGGAAAATTAATAGCTTGTTTGTAAGTTTTAGGTTCAGAAGTTTTAGAAAGAGAAGCAATAAAACAGTGATGAGAAGAATGTAAATTGTTATATGAGATGTAGTTCTGAATAGGATATCTAATCATATTACAAGAGGGTTTAGAATTATTAGGAAGAAGAGAATTGGGTAATTTGTAATCAAAATTTCTTAAATGAATAGGGATAGATCTTACTCTTGTAGATTTTCTTTGAGTACTGTCTTCAGGAACATTTTCATGATTCTGAAAGGTATCTGTATGTAACATACTAGAAGAATCATCAGCATTAGAACTAATATTATCAAACTGAAACAAATTAAATTCTTCATTTATTTGATTGTCTAAATAATTTGTGATAGTGGGAGCAATATGTGTATTATTATTTTCATTAACAGTTTGAGGAGCAGTATTAGAAATAGTTTTTAAGTAATCATTAATAGTATGATCATTATTTATTTCAATAGAATCAGAAATAAAAATGTTGTCATAATGTGTAGTTTTATATGGAAAAGTCATTTCATAGAACTTAACATTTCTAGAAACAAAAGTTTTATGAGTGGTTAAATCATATAATTTGTATCCTTTAGAGCCTAGAGGATAACCAATAAAAATACATTTATGTGCTCTAGAATCAAATTTTGATCTGTTTGAAGAAATAGTTGAAGCAAAAGCTAAACAACCAAAGACTTTTAAATGAGTATAATCTGGAACATGATTATAAAGCATTTCAAAAGGAGATTTATTATTTAGAATATTAGTTGGCAGTCTATTTATGATATGCACAGCAGTAAGAATGCAATCAGACCAAAAAGTAAGAGGTAAACAGGATTGAAATAAAAGAGCTCTAGCAATTTGTAAAATATGTTGATGTTTTCTTTCAACCCTACCATTTTGTTGAGGTATTTCAACACAAGATAGTTGATGCAGAATCCCTTTTGAATTGTAAAATTCAGGAAATATAAATTCAGTTCCATTATCTGTTCTAATAACTTTAATTTTCTTATGAAATTGAGTTTCAATGAAAGTATAAAAATTTAGCATATGAAATTTGACTTCAGATTTAGTTTTTAAAAGAAAAACCCAAGTACATCTAGTGTAATCATCAAGAATAGTTAAAAAATATTTGAAGCCAGTGTAAGAAGTAACTTTGTAAGGACCCCAAACATCCATATGAATTAAATCAAAAGGATTAGAAGCATGAGCAGTACTGATATGAAAAGGCAGTTTCTTTTGTTTAGCAAAATGACAAATATCACAAGGAGAACAATGTTTTTCATTATTTGAAACATTACAACCAGGAAGCATGAAAAGTTTATTAAAAGGTAAATGTCCAAGTCTAAAATGCCAAAGAGTAGTAATAGAGACATTATTTTGACTATCAGCAGAGTAAGCAGTAGAAAAATGATCTAAAAATGATTCTGGATTATAGTAATAGAGGCCATTCCTTAGATCAGCAAAGTCAATCATTTTGCTGGTAAGGTGGTCCTGCAATATAGCACGGTTAGATGAAAAATAGACTGAGATATTATCATGAGAAGTTAAACTTGAAATAGAAATAAGATTGAAAGTAAAGTTAGGAACATATAAAACATTATATAGAGTAAGATTTGAATTTAAAGTTATGTTACCAATTTTAGTGGCAGAAATGTATTTGCCAGTAGGAAGTTGAATATTAATTGAACCATCTTTTGTTTGAGAAGTATACAGGGAAGCATCATAGATCATATGATCAGATGCTCCTGTGTCAAGAATCCATTTATAAGAACTAAAAGATGCTAGAGCAAAGTATTTACCTAAAAAATGTGAAGCATTGCTTGAAGAATTAAGACCATCTTCAGAAGCAGTGGTGACAGCATTAACATAAGCAGTTTTAGGCTGTTGAGCTTGGATGAATTGCAGAAACTTTTCATACAAGTTTGGATCACAGAATTCATTGTTGGTAGAATTGGGGTTGTTTGAAGGTGGAACAGATTCAGTATAATGTGTAGGAGTTAACTCAGGTTCAGTAGAGTTGGCAGCTAGATTAGCATGATGATTTTTATTGGAATTGAGAGTAGGTTTAAAACCAGGAGCTTGTCTTTGACCTTTAGGGCCTTTCCGGTTAGTTGGATAACCAATGAGTTGGAAACATTTATCAGAAGAGTGACCTTGATAGCCACAGTGATTGCAGATAATAGAACTTTTCTTTTTAAAATTCTTAACAAAGAAAGCTGTAGCATCATTATTAAGTTTTTCAGATACAGAAGAATCTGAAAAAGAGTTTGTGAAAGAGAGAATTCTGAAGAGTTCTTTGAGATTCTTCGTGAAGAAGAATAGAGTAAATACCAGATAGAGTGGTTTTATCAGTATTAAGAAGAATCTGACTACGCAGATTAGAATAGGATTCATTGAGGCCAACAAGAAATTTCAGAATAGACTCTTTTTGGATTATTTTTTGATATGTTTCAGATATATTGCAAGTGCAATTGCCACAAGTACAAGAAGGAATGATTCTGAAATTACAGTATTCATCCCAGATTTCTTTAAAGGAATTATAGTAATCAGTGATTGTACGGGAACCTTGAGAAAGATTTCCTAGGGTTTTTTTAAGTTGAAAAAGTCTAGGACCATCAATTTTACCATATCTAAGTTGAACCTCATCCCAGAGATCTTTAGCATTGGTAAAAGAGAGAAAGGTAGTTCTAAGAGTGGGAGAAATAGAGTATATGAGCCAGGATAATAGAAGAGCATTAATACGATACCAGTGAGAGTACATTGAGTTATCGGTAGTCGGTTGAGCAAGTGATCCATCAAGGAAACCCATCTTGTTCTTCACCGCCATGGCCATGGTGACCGATTTCTTCCAAGCGCCAAAGTTCTCGCCAGTGAAGGTTTCGTAGATGATGCGAAGCCCCGCATGATCGCTCGGATGAAGGTAGTAAGGCGAAGATGAATCGTCAATGGGATTTATCTGCTGTGCCATCGAATCTAGGGTTTGCAGAAGAGGCAAACGAGAGAAGAGAAAAAAAAATACGAATCGATTGTAGAAATCGATTAGGAAGAAGATCGATTGAATCGATATAATCAGTAAGGATCTAAACCTTAATCTGATACCATGTGAATTCTGATAGAAATTGAAATTTGTATATCGGAAGCAAGAACAATCGTTTACAGAGAAAGCAAAATCGTAATCTATGAAGATAGATTGCGGAGAAGAAGAATAATGAATACCTAAACCTATTACAGAGTTGGAATCATATTTATACTAATGGGCTAACAGGCTTATAATAAGTAAACAGTCCAATAGGCCCAGAAATATAAAAACAGTCCAAAATATATATTTAAGAATATGTCTTGTGCATATTTATATTAGAGCCTTGCATCATTTGACGATCAAAAGCACAAAAATAATAAAAATGCTTATGCTAATGGTTTAAGCTTACACGTATAGGTTCTAAATGTAAGCTAATGGTGTCTAAAACTCCTCTTGTTAGCCACTCTCTAGTGCTAACCTTCACGTGCAGTTTTTAGCCAACAATTTACGATTGCACTTAAAGGATACCTCTATTTTCATATCTCACAATTGGTCTTTAAAACTAAATGACTTCATTGAGCACTAATGTTCAAACTCGATCCAAGAGAATTATATTCTGATTTTTTATTCTTTTGGAAACTGTCTTGATATTTTTCCAAGTATATTGAGGCTCTTAAACTCACATTAAATTTGTTTACTTAAAGATATACTACCACATCATTACACCATCCGATTGAACTACATCTCATTATTTTTGAAAATTAATACGTAGTATATGTTATAGTATATAACAAGTAAAATTAAGATTTCATACATACTTATGTTAAAAATATTTTACACAATTCATTAAAATTGAGAGTTGGGCATATTACATTCGCGCAACGCGTGAACAATTTACTAATTAATATATAAAGTTGAACATTCAAATAATTTAATCATTAAAGGTGTGAGTTAAAAAGGGAAAGAGAGAAAGTTGTAGGCTCTGAAAAACGAAACAATTGCAGATGATATTTTTAGCAACAGAAGAAGAGGAATTTTTGGAGCTCCGATGTGTGGCGTAGTATAGGAAATCGAATTATCCAAAGTTCTGATGTATGACGTAGCAGAAGAAATCGAGTTATCTAGAGTTTGGATAAGTTGCAGAGTCCAGTTCCGCCGATTCACCTCCACCTATCAGCTCCGACGATCCTATGCGAATGACTGAGTGAGGAAGATGATCTACAATTCAGATATTAGGAATGAGAGAATCAATGATTGAAAAGCTTAAAGTTAGTAGATACTTCGGATGTATATGTATATCCTGGTGTACCTTATGATTTGTCCTAAAAAAATTTCGATTTTCATATCTTAGAAGAGCAAAGGTGAGAAGATATTCACGGAAGGAGCGTATTCGATTTTTGGTTGTTTTTGAAGGATTGAGAGAAATAATGTTTACTTGCACGAGTAGCTCAGTTGATCAAGTGGTGGAAAAATTGGACCAAGTGACCAAGGTTCGAAACACGCACCGATCGTGTGGAGGTTACAGAACCTGAAATAAGGCTAAACCTCTGATGCACACGTGTATAAGGCTTACAACCGCTTTACTGTCTGAATCACCCTGATTAACCCTCCTACGATGCTGTGGGTTAGGGTGAGCCTCGTGAGATTCACACCAAGAGAAATAATGCTCTACTCCCTCCGTCCCTAATCTTTCTCCCTTTTCGGCTGAGCACATTTATTAAGGTAGTGGGATTTGTGTGGTGGAGAGTTGTGCAGAGGAGAGAGAAATGTGTAAGAATGGTTGTGAACCACAATTTTTTTGTTAAAAGGGGAAAGAGGAGATAATTTTGGAACGGACGAAAAAGGAAAGTTTGAAGATAATTTACTAAAAATGAAGATAATTTACTTGTGTCGCCTTTATCCGATTCAACGAGACATGACATATGACAGCACACTTGTAATTTTCACCATCAGATCTCAGGCTTTAAAATCGCCGCTACCGGAAATTTACCCAGATTTAAGGTCGACGCCCGGCGACGATCATCACGATACCCGAAACTACGATGCTCCGTAGATCGTTCAACCTCTTTCTCTTCCTCGTTCTGCACTGCCAAAACCTTATCCTAACTTCCTCAACCCATTCGTCTACACCACTTCTCAACGTTTCCCATTATCTTTACCCCAAAGCCACCTCATTTCTCTTCTCTCAACCTCCGCCTTCTCCTTCTCAGCCCTCGTACTTATTGAAGGTTCTCTGCTCTTCCTGCTGTTCAATTTCCCGTGGATTTTGAGTCGTTACTTATATTGCTGTTATTTTCATGTGGGTTTGCAGGAGGTACTGGAGTCTATTTCGAATGGAGAGAAATGGGATTTGGAGGAGATTAGGATTTCGAAACTGAATGCTAAGAGAGCCAAGTTTGGCAATGTGAGGAAGTACGAGTTTGGGGTTAGGTTGGGAAAGACTGAAATCGTGTTCAAGGTGTTTGATCAAGTGTCCAAGTGGAAAAAGTTTGAATCATTGGGGAAGAGGAATTGGTCTGATTTTGAGTCTCTGGTTAAAGAGATTGGCTCCAACGCTGTTCTTGATGGATTTAAGATTGAAGGTCCACTGGAATTGTATGCTGCTGGTGATGATTATAGTTTCTCGCTCAATTTGCCGGTACTATCTTCTCTATGTATATACTCCGTACATATTCAAATCATGATTAACTTCTATATTCATCTTTGAAATCAATTTACCATGTATTCTAATTAAATAAATTCGACCTAGGAGTAATAGGGCTATGAAGTAGTTAAGTTGATACTCGAGGGCAGTTTACGTCAATCGCTATTGCATTCACTTTTACTGAAAACTAATATGTGAAGTACCTGAGAAACAGCCTTTATACTCCCTCCATCCTTAAATGAAGTTCCCGGATTGAGCTACACGCATATTCACGTAAAATAGAGTTTTATTTTGACTTTCCAAGTATACCCCTGCTTTATGTCAAAGTCAACCAAAAAGTTGTTAAAAAGCAAGAGTAGTTGTGACTTTTTGGTTAAACGTGATTTTCTTTTATGGAAATGAAAACTTCTTCTTGGGACATCCATAAAAGGAAAGTGAGAACTTCGGAAAGGAGGTAGTATATTTTAATTTTTATTAGAATTATAGTTTTATTTAGGCTTGCATCCCAAGGGGCATGACATTTTGATTTCATTACAACTCCAGCTTTGTTTTATTTATATTTCGTTTCATTTAATGCCTTATATGGTACATACCCCAATATCTGGCTATTGTAGAGTAGTAGACTTGCCCTCACACTTGTGATTCTTGTTATACTTTCTGTAATATAGTGTATAAGCATTAAGAATGTTGTCTTGAATTTAAGGAGTGGAAGGATTAAAAATAGGGAGATTTCCCAAAATAGGAGTAAATGAAGTTTGAAATTCCAAAATAGGACTACTTTGTTTTTATTCCCGAAATAGGACTAACATGACAATATTTACTGTCATCTTGTAGCCGTGACTGCCAAATAGTTGCAGCACAGTGCATTTAACATGACAATATTCATTATAATTAATGACAGTATTTTTCAATCATGGCAGTATTTTTCATACATGACAGTAATAACTCCTATTTCGGAAAGAAAAACATAGTAGTCCTATTTTTGGAATTCCAAATGTCATTTGCTCCTATTTTGGGTAATTTCCCTTAAAAATATGCAATTTACATTTCCAAGTTCTATGCATTATTCCGATTGCCATATTAACCTCTTTTTTCATTAGTGAAACTGCAAGTATTTTAGTAAAAAAGGAATCGTGATGTCCATTCATAAAACTTTGCTCATCTAAGTTTTGTTCGGATTTCTAGAATGTCATTATTTTAGTTTATTCTTTGGTTTTCCTTTTCCTTTTTTCTTCCTTATGCATTCTTTTTTCTTTATATATAAATTTCCTGGATGCTAGATTGGAAGTACTAATGTCTGAACATTTTAATCAGTTAAACGTTTCAGTTCCTGGTTTGAAACAAATACTGGTTAGTGAAGGCATGACAATAGAAGTGGAAGGTGCTGAAGAAATAACTGTATTCCATACCCATCCCTCTCCAAACGGACCACTATATGGGACTATTTTCAGTAACTTGAGGAGCAAGTTTCCCTCTTCATGTTCATCATCACTTCCAATACGTGTTAGAGGGTCAGCACACGTGTCTGTGTTCAAGACTCAAAATCCCAATTCGGCCATAAAATCCTCTTTTCTATCTGGAGACACGATCATGTTGCTTCCAGACAAGTGTTATACAGGAAACGTCCATAGAAAACAGAGTTCGGTAGTTGATTCTCTTAGCCAGAAGGCAAGTTTACTGGAAAATGCTTTGAAGAGTTTTTTGGGTGGGAGAGCTGATAAAAAAACTGGATTTGGCCTAAAAATAAGGATCAAATCGTCAATTGTTATTCGGTTCCAGATGGAGTTGGAGAGAAATATCCGTAACAATGACACTCAGTGGAGTACGTTAGGTGAGTGGAGGACAAGGCCGAAGGCTGAACGCGTTTGGTTTGATGTGGTGGCAGGAATTAGGGAAGGGTCACTGAAGCCACTAACGATGAAGAAATTCCGACCGTTTGTTGAAGTAGATTCATTGTCGTGGAGCAGTTTGATGTCAAATGTTTCCTTCACAAAGATTCCGTCTCTCCTTGTTACTTCAGAGCCGCTAACACTGGATGTCAAGTGGTGACAAAGGTCAGAATATTTCCTCTTTAGATTTCCATTGTCTCTAAAAAGTCTTCCTAGATTTTCTATCCATCTTTCCTTTTGTAATGATGCAAAACATGACTTGTACAAATGTATACTCTGTAAATTCAAAAATAGAAACATGCATCTTTTTCTTACAATCTAACTGTAGTTGATTAAAAGAAGATGGTACTTTTAGTCCCTAGTTATATTCATGGTGTATTCCTTTTGGTAGCTGCAGTCTTCACTTTTGGGATTTGAGGTTCTGTTTAGAAGTAGGATTTAGAGTGCTAAATTTATACTCCCTCCGACCCACTAACAATGGGACAAGAGGGAGTGACATGCAAACCAATAAAAAGTGGTTTATGTGGTTGATATTGTATTGATAAAGTAAGAATAATGTAAGAATGATTTAGAGCCACACAAATTTTACCAAATTTGGGACGGACCGAAAAGGTCAAATGAGACAATCTTAGCGGGATGGAGGGAGTATCTAATACTGCTTCCGTCCCGAAAAGAAGTTCTCACTTTCCTTTTATGGATGTCCCAAAAAGAAGTTCTCATTTCCATAAAAGGAAACTACTCTCAACCAAAAAGTCACAATTACCCTTACTTTTTACATACTTTTTAGTTGACTTGACATAAAGCAAGGGTATAATTGGAAAGTCAAAATAAAACTCTATCTTGCATAAGTATGTGTGTAGGTCAAACCGGGAACTTCATTTCGAGACAGAGAGAGTGTGTGAGTGGGCTTAATTTTTCTTTTCAAGATATACATACTTGTCGGTGGGCAAATTAAGCCCTCCAAAACTATTCATAATCATCCAACCGAACAGAACCTGAGACGAAAAGCTGCATCTTTGAAAAGAAAGCTAGATTCTCATTGGAGTCTCGGTCGCTCTGAAGGAGAACTAAAGACAGAAAAGAACAACTACTCCCTCCGTCCCGCTAACAATGGGACAAGAGGGAGCGGCACACAAATCAATAAAGAGTGGTTTATGTGGTTGATATTGAATTGATAAAGTAAGAATAAAGTGAGAATGATTTAGAGCCACACAACTTTGCCAAATTTGGTATGAGACAATCTTAATGGGACGGACCTATAAGGTAAAACGGGACAATCATAGCGGGACAGAGGTAGTACAATTTACAAAGTCATGCCTTAAATCTAAAGTTGGGTAACCGAACTTGTTAAGCAACGCCATTTGTTCAAAGTTTCACAACCTAGGTTCAGTAAAAATTGGATGAGCCAAGGTGATGCTAAATTAATATACAATATTGATGTGAGTATACTATTAGGTTAACCTAGGTCAGTGCAATAAATGGTTGTTTGCATGGAGGTTAGTCTAGGTGAAAACCAAAATATTACTTACAAGGAGAACTAAATTTACGAAGCTCTCAATTGGGGGTTCTTTGAGGTGAACTTAAGTTCTTCAAAATCTAGGTTCATGTCATCACATAACTTTCCGGATGAGGTGTACTCGAGCTAAATCTTGGAAGAATCCAGGTTCACTTCTAACCAAGGTTCACTTCTAATCCGGGTATTATGTTAGAAGGGACAAGGCCTTTTGCCACTTAACACCTGAACCCTTGATCATCCACAACATAAAAACTTGTTTGGTATAACTGACTGCACTCAGGAAAGTCGAGACCTACCAGATCATAATATTGCTGCCAGATTTACTTGGCTAGCCAACATTCAAGAAACACATGCTTGAATGTTTCTGAGTTGCTGCACCAATCACTTCTGGCAGCATAGTAATTCGAAATTCATATTCAACAATGTTACCACTTATCAGTTGAGGAATCCAGCCATTGAATTCTCTTCATAATGAATGTATGGCTCGGCTCTTACATGGTTGTCACGGCACATAGACAAGGTGCGGTGCCAGTGAACTGCCTAGTCGTAGACGTTTGGGAGAGCGCCTAGGCAACAAGTAGCTGTGTGCAATATTTGAATATAATAGAGTATATAAGTATACTATGAAATATAGTAACTATCTGGTTTTGTCATCACTTTGTTCACTGCTAGGATCAGACCATGTTTCTAACCAGAGATTTATACCCCCTTCCTATGCTCCCACAGGGGAGTCAGCACTTTGTTCGCTGCTGGCAATTAAACAGTGAGTTTTTCTGCATTATTTGGTGTCAATGAGCAGAGCCCGAAGAGATGATAAGTTCCTGAATCTCCGCCACACATTGCATTAAAAAAGTCAGGGTGAAGAGTGAACAGATCATGACCACCCATGACCCCTCCATCCCACCACCACTCTTCACTTCTTCCTGTGGGCAGGGCCGGCCCTGGTGGTGTGCAAGGTGTTCAACCGCACAGGGCCCAAAAAATTGGAAGGGCCCAATTTTTTTTTTGTAGTAGTATACAACTACCTCCGTCCCGCTATGATTGTCTCATTTTACCTTATCGGTCCGTCCCATTAAGATTGTCTCATACCAAATTTGGTAAAATTTGTGTGGTTCTAAATCATTCTTACTTTATTCTTACTTTATCAATTCAATATCAACCACATAAACCACTTTTTATTAATTTGTGTGTCACTCCCTCTTGTCCCAATGTTAGCGGGACGGAGGGAGTAGTATTACTTAGGTGGACTAGGGCAAGGCTTTGAAGCAGGCCTGATTCGTCACTTCGCGTATTCCTCATCTGCAAAGGAGGAGTGAGCGAGGCATGCACGATTTGAACCCAGGTGAAAATAAAAGCATGCACGCTGATTTCTAAACATCAACCACCGGACCAAATCAACTAATTGTTGAAATACGGACGTACAAGTTTTATATTACCTATTTGTTCTACAAAATAAATAATTAAAATACCTCTTAATAAAAATCGGTTCAGTTCGATTTGAACCGATTTTATAACTCAAAAAACCTTCATTAAACCGATTTATGTTCGAATCCCGACTTTCGGGTCCCGTTTGAGACGGTGCAGTTTCGGTTCGGTTTTTTTAACTTGTGTTGAAACTTTGAAAAGAAGGCTCAATTTATTTTTCTGCACATGGCCTTCATTTCCTCAGGACCGGCCCTGCCTGTGGGTAACAGAAATTCTCCCATAATGTGTTTATGTGAGTTGGAATCTACTCATAATAGAGCATTGAACATCCTCCCCTGGTTCACAATGCTTTTAGGAGGGTAAAGAGCTTCTTGCTGAGGAAAAGGGTAACACTCTAAGCAGTTGCAACCAAAGTAGTACGTAGTATTTCTTTGTGATTATAAATCTTTTAAATATTACTCCGTATAATCATATCATATCTGAATGAGATCTAGTGCTGGAATATAAAGATATGCAGTTGCGTTTCTTTTATAAAAGGTTTAACTAATCTCTTGTTCATGTAGATACAATATTTATTGTGCATTGTGTACGTATGTGTGTATACACAGACATGTATGTATATATGCAAGTAGAGTTTTGTATTTTCCATTCTTGATTCCAGTTTAATGATTAAAAAAAAGCACGTGTTTACTTTAAGACGCCCGTTTCAGTACAACTTAGGAGGTGTGTGGTTAATACTTGATAGCTGTTTACCCCCAAAACACCATTTTTCATCAACAAATGCTGCATTTTACAGCATTTTGCCATCAAACCGGTGAAAGCCTGAAATACAAACACCCCCTTAGTCTCAAAGCATTCAAATATTATAAAATTTGTTCAGGTGACAAATTGACAATTTAATAAGTATGAAAAAACAAAACAAGCATTTAAAATAAGGGAAAAGGTACAAATATACCCCTGTACGATGAGTGTGACTGTGTGAGAACAAATATACCCTTGTACTTAGTGGTGGATCGGTTCCGGTTCGGGCCCGGCCGAGCCCCAGTTCATGAAAGGGGAGGCCCGGAACCGGCCCGGATAACCCCGGGTCCGGGCCGGGCCGGGCCTCGGTTCTTATATATTTTTTGGCTTTTCCTAATTAACCCCAACCCTCCCCCCTCACCCCCAAACCACCCCAAACCACCTCAAATGGCCCATCATACCCAGCCCAACCCAAAAACTTAGAAAAAATTCAACAAAAAAAAGAAAAAAATAATTTGGCCCAGACTAGGCCCGAACCGGCCGGGCCAGTTCACGATTTAGGAGGTCCGGGCCCGGACCGCCTACCTCACCGGGCCAGGTGGCCCGAACCAGGCACCAACCGGTTCACCGGGCCGGTCCGGGCCCGCACAGTAGCGGGCCGGTCCGGTTCCAGGCCGGGCCAACCGACCCGAGTCCACTCCTACTTGTACTATTTTTCAGAACAAATATACCCTTGAAGTATATGTTGAAATGCATATATACCCCTGAACTTACAAAAAGTGCAAAAATACCCCTCATGTTCGTATAAAGGAGCAAAGTTACCCTTATTGACTTTAAATTGACAAAATAAATTTCAAAAAACACCAAAAATAAATTATAAATTTAAAATAAAAAATTATAAAAAATGTACTTGTGTCCAATATTTCTCCCTTTTTATTATTTTCTATCACAATTTAATATTGTTAGTATAAAATATTATTTCAAACCTGTACTGTGTATTTTAGATTCTTTCAAAAAGTGCTAATTAATATATGTGTTGTAATGTAAAAAAATATTATTTTTTTGCATTCTTTGCACTATAAATTACATATTTTGTGTGATGATAAATAATCCAAGATTACAAAATAGTGAATTTAATTTTATTAAGGGTAATCAAAATCAAAGAGTGTTATTTAAAAAAATTAACAATGTGTTCAAAATTTGGCAACGAGACGGAATTAATATTTTTAGTATAGATATTTAAAATTAAAGAGTTAATATTTTAACATAATATTAAATCATTATATTTAAAATTTGAATTTATAATTTATTTTTGTTTTTTTAATTTATTTATCTATTTAAAGTCAACAAGTGTAAATTTGCTCCTTTATAAGAATATGAGGGGTATTTTTGCACTTTTTAAAAGTTCAGGGGTATATACGCTTTTCATCATATACTTTAGGGGTATATTTGTTCCGAAAAATAGTACGAGGTATATTTGTTCTCACGCCCTTTAAAATAACGCCAATTTTAATGCATGAAATTTAATGTCGTGTTTGCGTAATTAATTGTCAGATTTAACAAATTTTGACATAAAAGTTAAAATAAGAACTTAAGAAGGAGTTTTTTCTTAATGAATGCTGAAAAAATAAATATTTACCAAATTAAAGTTTGGTTAAAAGTATTTATCAAATTATTGTTGGAGGTAAACTATGGTTAGGCAAAATCACCACTTGAAATGGTGACTTTCCGCTAAAATACATAATCTACACATGGCTACGTGAAGAGTCTACAAGTGAGAGGGAATAAGTGGGGCCTGTGTTTTAAAACAATCTCTTCTTTAAACTGATATAACTTTTATATTTTTACTCCAAATTTTATAAAATATATATCGATTTTCATAACTTTTATTTTTCATATGACACCAATATTGCATGCACAAAATTTAAAAAATGGAGGTTATTTGTGAAGAAAGGAATAGTTGCAAAACAATATTTTTATTCAATAAATCTAAGTCTAAACAATATTTTTTTTACAAAATTAAAAAAAATGAAGGTCATTTGGGAAGAAAAGAATAGTTGCAAAACAATATTTTTATTCAAAAAAAGAATAGAAATTTCCCTAAATAGGAGTAAAAATGTTTTGAAATTCCAAAATAGAAGTATCATATTTTTTATTTCTTAAATAAGAATAATCTGCCAAGTTTGGAAAAAAATGACATGTTTAAAAGTCTAGTAATGTCAAACTTGGCAGAAATTTACTCCTATTTAGGGAATAAAAAACATGATAGTCCTATTTTAGAAAATTTAAAACCTTTTTACTCCTATTTAGGGAATTTACTAAAAAAAAAAATGAAGGTCATTTGGGATGAAATCATGAAATACCATCATCTTGATTTCTGATCTAGCATTTTCCTTTTGCTTTCACACGGGACTTAGTCACTTTCTTGGATGACACTTCTTGAAACATGTTTTTAATCTTTCACTTGACACTTATATTGCACACTTATTACTGAGTATAATAAGATGGTAAAGTTCTCGATTGAAATATGACCAATATCTAATTCAGTAACACTAATAATAACAACCATCTTCATTTTAATGAATTACATACTCCCTCCGTCCCTGAAAATACTTCCAACTTTCCCTTTTCGTCCGTCCCAAAGAGAACTTCTCTTTCCTTTTTTGGCAAAGAATTTGTGGTTCACAACATTTCTCTCTCCTCTGCACAACTCTCCACCACACATTTCCCACTTTCTTAATCCGCTTGCCACTTTATTTCGGAAGTAAATTGTGGGACGGGGGTAGTAACATATTATTGGTGTTTGCTTCGGGACCCATGTGATATATTAAATTGAAATGGTCTTGAATAGGAATAATAACATTTTGAAATTTTAAAAGGAAAAATGGAAATTAATAATCCAACCTTTTCACCTCATCTTCATTCGTTGGTCCCTAATCGGTTGATGACCTACTACTCCAGGTTTTTTTCATTTTCTTTTCAAACCATTAAACCATAAATCCCAATTTTCATAAAACTTCACCAAGCGGTCCCACACATCATTTTTCTTTTTCTTCCCAAAACTTTTCCTTTTTTATTTTTATCGTCTTGACTCTTTTAACCCCCCTTTTGGTCTTCTTATTCTTATTTTTAATTTTATTACTTTTCATTTTTTTTTATTTTTTTCAATGTTTATGTATTCCATTTTTTCTTCTTTTTCTTCTTGCCGTTTATTATTTCATTTTCATTTTTATGTATTTTTTCGGATTAGTTTCCTTATAAAAGATTTTTTTTCACCGTACTAACTTTTTACTATGATTTTTTTACATACACTTATTTATTTCCTTTTTCCTTTTCTTACCTTTATTCTACCAATAATATATATTTGAGAAAATAGCCCCAAAATAGGACTAAACTAATCCCTAAATGCATAACTAGGACTACATTATTTTTCTTTACTAAAGTACCGTCTATCTTCTTATTCTACATTTCTACCATTACCATAACTAAATAGGATAATCATATTTTACATTACAATAAAACACCGTCTATCTTCTTATTCTACATTTCTACCCTTACCATAACTTTCTTTTTATTTTGTTACTATATTTTTATAAATTGAAATACCTTTTGTTATTTTTCTTTTTTATTATAATGTAAAATATGATTATCCTATCACATTGTGGTAAGGGTAGAAATGTAGAATAAGAAGATAGACGGTGTTTTAGTCCTATTTGGAGAAGATAAATAACATAGTCCTATTTGTGCATTTAGGAATTAGTTTAGTCCTATTTTGGGGCTTTTTTCTCAAAAATATATTAGTGGTAGAATAAAAGTAAGAAAAGAAAAAAGGAAAATAAGTGTAAGTAAAAAGAAAATAAAGTAAAAAGTTTATACGGTGGGAGAAATATCTTTTATAAGGAAACTAATCCGAAAAAATATATATAAATGAAAATGAAATAATAAACGGGAAGAAGAGAAAGAAGGAAAATGGAATACATAAACATTTTAAGAAATAAAATAAATTGAAAATAAATTGAAAAGTATTAAAAATTAGAATAAGAAGACAAAAAAGGAGAATAAAAGAGTCAAGACGATAAAAATAAAAAGGGAAAAGTTTTAGGAAAAAAGAAAAATAATACGTGGGACCGTTTGGAGAAAATTTGTGAAAGGTGAGATTTACGGTTTGTTGGGAATATTTTATGGTGTTCAATCTACTTAGTTATCTTTGTATTTGTGTAGTTATTAATTAATCGTGTAATACGGGCCACAAATGTGTATCAGCCCGTGGGCTTCCTTGTAACCCGTAAGTTAGCCAACTTCTCCTATAAAAGGAGGCTAACTTACGGGAACCCTAACGATCGATAGAGGCTTAGAGACGTAGAGGCGTAAAGATAGAGAGAGTTTAGGTTTGCCGCTGCTCTCCTTCTCCAGGGAGAGCAGCGGCCGGTTTTCATACGGTATACCAGATTTGGGTATAAACTTGTCGACTTCTTTCTATCTGCTTCTTCTATAACTGCTATATTTGTTGTTTGTTAAGTATTCTGGGACTAACAATTGGTATCAGAGCCGAGGCGTGAAACAGGTTGAATGTATCTGCGATTTTCTTGGATCTAACGAAGACTGCTCTGTTTTTCTTCTCTTTTTCTTCATATAGAGTTTTGCTCCTGTAATCTTGTTTGTGAACGAAAATCTGTAAAAATTATACTGTTGGAATCGCCTCTCAAAACCGATTCTACAGCATATCTTCTTTTTCGTTTTCTGCAAATTTTCATTTTCGAAAAACTCCCATTGAAAACTCGAGTTTATGCTTTTAACACTGCTGCAGAAACGATTTTGACTTGAAACAGATACAGGAGGGATCGCGACCTTCAGGGCTATTCAGAACAGTTTTCAGATTCTCAAAATTCGACAGTTTTTAAAACCGAGAGTTTGTAAACTCGCGGTCATGAAGTCGAGTTTGTAAACTCGCGGTC